TTCCATTTTATAACTGAGGGTCTATAAATTAGTTAATGAAACGACAACATTTATGGTCAAGATATTGGTTACAAAATTGTAACAAAATTTAACAAAAAATCACGAAATTGTCCCATCACATGTCATATTAGTTAAAGTATAATTTTCAGCATTTTCATTACATATATGATTGAATAGAATAGAGTTTATTTCCAATAAATGGGTCACATTCATGACGTACAAATCAGCATATACGTAATAAGCAAATAGATATATCAAATAAAATTAGTGTATTAAAGTAAATAAAGCTTGATTCTGATTATTTTGAAAACAATTAATTAAAGATTTCAATAATCCTGATCTCCATTTAATCTGTAATTATATTTGATGTGCTTGATTTTCTTTAATCATTACTTAAATTTTAAAATGCAGTCATAGATTCCATAAATGGAGTTCATGATAGGGGTATAAAATAAGTAGTCTGCGATGTAGGGACTAGCAATCTGTGTTAAAGTTAACAGTCCTTTAAAAGATATTGTAAGTTCTATCTCATATGAAACAGTGCTGACTGCTGACGTTGCAGCTATGTTATAAAGTTAATGTTCACACACAATCTAATAATACAAATTTGATATTGACATGGTTGTAAACCTGCTGATTCCTACATTGTTAATCTACTTTAATAAACCATAATTTATAGCAAGTAAATTTAAACATAGCAAGAACATTTAAACAGTCAGATACACACATCTTTCACACAATGGCCTAAGGACAAACAACCGCATAATACTAAAATATCCAGTTCATAATTACTTAAGTTGACAACAGCTGTTATAACACAATATTCATTGATAAACTAATATGATACAATATACTATCTGATACATCACAATATTTTAATATGATAATATTTTTGAGTCTTACACTCTTTTAACACAATACTTCTTAGCTGATATCATTTATATACAAATGTAGCTAAATGCAACAGTACATATGTAGCAGAATATTTCGTATTCGTTTCATTTCATGGAGGAATAGGTTTCTTGGTAAAATAAGTATAAAACCTCTAAAACACTATGTAAATTTGATTTATTTATCAAAAATAATTTTTCAATAAAGGAAGAGAAACTTCTTAACTATCCTTATGATACTTAATGACCTCCAAAGTGGTGACCTTTAAACCCTAGGATAATAATTCATAGAACTTTTGTAGAGTTTTACATGTATTGTATTTGTAATGTATCATCTTAACAATATTCAATAAAGAAAGTGGCTTCCAAGGCATAAGGGTCACAATAGATATAACTTTTGTAAAAAATAACAGAATTGGTACAGCATGCCAAAATATATTTGCTCTGGGCTTTGTAGTTTCAAAAATTAACTTGTTCTTCTCAAGAATTCATTGAAAACTCGATGTCATATTTGCATTAGATAATACTTTTATGATATTACTTATCATGAAACACATTTCTAGAAATAAAAAATAATGAAAACACACCAACTTAACAATTAAACATTCTTGAGTCTGCAATTTTTATATAATTTTTGTTGCGATTAATCTTTCCGATGATCATACTTTTCCCCGACTTTTTTTACATTTAACAGATATATTCAAGACGTACTTCGTACTTTTTGAAGAGCTTCAAGAGCTTCTTTCAATATAATATTCGTCCCCATACATATACGAAAAGTACAATAGGACGGTAGAACTCGGTTTTGTTCTATACCAGTCAAGGTTTTTCTATTTCTGTGCAGATTAAAACTTCTGTCAGTTGAATGATAAAGCCGGCAAGATGATGGCTGCTTTTTATTTGAACTCAAAAAAGATGATATTGGTAAATTACAGGCTTCTTATACTTCAATTACAGGATACCACTATGTCAATACCATGAAACAATTAAGTGAGGTAAGCCATTGGTGCCCTTGCATAACAAAGCCCCTAACAAGTCCAGACTTGCACAAGCGCCTATTCATGCGTTCAATTTGTGTGAGCAATAAATTACCTGCAAAACAGTCTTGACCTGACCCCAGGTTTTATTTTCCAGGTTTAACGATATTATGGAACGATGATGAGCTCAAGGCTACTTAAGAAGCCTGTTTTGGGGCCAAACAGACGACTTTTATTTCAAAGGCATAGCCTGTTTGAAAGAAAATTGGGCCAAATGCATTTGAGGCAAAAGTAAATAAAAAAAATATTGAAACCATCTTACAAACTGTGTATTAACATTAAGTTCTACAAACTTATTAAACTCCCAACGTATAAGTAAAATACAACAACATACGCTCAAATTATTTTATAAAGCAGAGTTTGCGGTATCCTACAGTACGCTCACCGCGGCTTTTGCCTTTTCCGCGATACCCCCGCGGACGATTTTTTTCTACCGCGGACAAACGCGATGGAGGTCCGCGATAAAAACAATCAATTCCCCCGCGATCCACGGTGTCTAGTTATTTCCATCGCGGACCAAAATCCGACGATTGCAGTCATATTATCGTTAAAATCAGTCATCCGTGTTTTGCGGGGTAACGCGGGGGTCAGAATAAGTAAATCTTAGAAAAGAAAAAAATAAACAAACACAAAAACTTACATAAGTCTATGACCGTGGATATGCTTTTATCTTAACATGAAGAATAAGTAATTTATACGCAGTCCTTGCATTTTTTAAATGATTTTAATTGTTAAATTCTCATCGCCAGAACCCACGGTACTCTATCCGTAAATACTGCTTTTTAATACCGATACCGGTATACGGCCTGGGCTACTGAGGATGCCTTTTCTTTGATATAAAAGATATTTCTTTGGTTATTATACACTTTTAACAGTACATTTCTTACTACATCCCCATGTTTATTTCATGTCTTGCAACAAAAATAACAGCACCCAAAATTTTTACAATCTACGATGAAATATTAGAATAGAGTTTAGAAATTTTACTCGCCAATCTCCGAATGTATTAGTCAACGGAAAACACATCTTTCTACAAAAAAAAATAAAACAGTGTTCCCTCAATTTTACAATGTTTGATGAAATAACAGACTAAACAGATAGTTGGTTGATTTTTTTCTACATGCATGTAACTTAATATATGTATTCCGTGCTTATTACAGCTGACGGAAAACATGTCCTATGAACGTTGCCCTAGCCTTGCTGATTTTTGTTCTCATTATTTTTTTTCTGTAAAAATATTATGAAATAGAAAATAGTTGACATTGTTTAGATAAATAAGAAACTTGACCCCTACCCAGCTTAGGTATTTCCCTTGTTTATTTCATAGACAGAAAATATATATTACAACAAAAATTACGTCATCCTTCATTCTTAAATAAAGGATCGTAGGATCACTTTGTTTCCAGATTTTTATACTTTAGATTAGAAATTTGACACCTACCTCCTATTTTATTTCAATCAATGGTTCAAGATGTCTAACAACAAAATTACATCATCCCTCAATTTGGCAATTTTCTATGAAATGAAAGCATGGGTGTGATACACGGTTTTTAAACAGGTATATTTTGATATTGGAATCAACACCATGTTTACGTTGTGCAGTTTATTAAACATTGCTGGTATATGTAATATCAGCGCAAAAGATAAAAAATAAAACAGACCAAAGAATAAAATTGTTATTTTATTTATTTTCATTGTTTTTAATGTCGGGTATGTAGGTTCTATGTTGACCCCAAAATTTCATCATTTAAGAAATCAGTCACGCTATCCTACCTTTTTCTTGTTCTGCATATTCATTCAGGGATCTGCATACCCGATCTATTCCAGTCTGAAAACAATAAATATAATTTTTCGAATATATCTTTATTAAAACTTAATCAAAAGTGTTGAACATTAATTTACTGGTTGAAAGGCTATATGTTTCGTTATAGGATATATTATTAGGCCTATTTTCCAGGGATCTACATTACATTTGTTTTTGTTAAAACTTGTAGCCACGTGCGTGACAGAGGTGCTTATTATCACAATAAAAATTAAAACAAAAGAAAGAAATGTTAATGCATCCGTTTTCTTGTCGGTAGTAAAGATTAAATATAATTATCTAGAAATGAAATAAATACATGTTTATAATGAAATGTCTTGCCGGTAAATCTTCGCTACAAAGAATGTCTTTATTATTTTTTCCTGTCGGTAGTCATCGATATTCATACAATTTCTTCAATGAAAAAGTGGAAACATGTTCATAAAATAATTTCAACACAAATTTTGCAACTGATTATATAAAGTAACAAAAGGTTTCTTGTCGGTATGAACGTTACAGTACACGCGTTGAATCAGATTTTTTTTCTTGTCGGTCACCATACTTTTAATTTTCTATATAAAAAAAACGAAACAAAAAACAAACACTCAGATTAAAAGAAAATAAATAAGTCTTGCATGTACTAAATATGTACGAGTACATGTTTATTAACAACACATGGGTTCTTGTCGGTCCTTGACGGTTCTTGTCGGTAAATAGGGATACTCATTGTATAAAAAAATATGTTTACACCTGTAACTGATTGAACGATCGGATTTACTGGAAAAATACGGAAAATACCTGGTGAAATAACTTTTTTTTGGTAACAAAACGGGCCCGAACAACTTGTCAGTTCAAAATTCATGTCTATTCACACGGAAATAAATGCATTATTACGTTAACTTAAATAATCGGGGTCAGGGAAAAGTACAGGTTGCAATAACTTTTGACTAGCGGTACGGCCCCGGACGCTAGCTGTTGCAACTTCTGAAATTGACGTCCAAAAACATACTGAAATGGAAAATAAAGACAAATTAATTATTTTAGTAGACTCTAATATAAATTCTTAACTGTACTATTACATGTTTTTTCACAAAGTTTACAAGTTCCATAAAATACTTGTAAAATTCAATCGTTTTCACGATGAATACCACCGCGGTCCACGGAGATTGACCACCGCTAAAATGAAAGAGATATAGTGTCATCCATCTCTTAGATTGTATAATACGAGGGTTGTTCAAAAAATTCGTGCACTGCAGTTATTGTCGAAAGAGTTATTAATAAAAACAAATGAATTATATATCACTTGAAGGGGAAATCTGTTTTTCTATCAATAACTCTCACGACAATAATTGCAGTGCACGAATTGTTTGGACAACCCTCGTACATATAAGAGATGGAACATTTTTCTTCAAATATTTTTGCTACAAATAATCTTGACCTTTTATTGTGGCAAAATTATAAATCAAACAGAGATAACGACTGTAACTGCTTCCATTTCTGATTAAAACGAGTATAATTGTCGTGTATGAATATTGATTGACATTTAACATTTTTTATAAACGGTTCAATTAAAAAAGTTTATAATTACTACCAAAATAACTCTAGAACCAGGACGACACTATTTCGTTTTAAGGTAACATGAAAATATTGCAGATAACTTGAATTATTTAAAAAAGGTGTCAAAAACATAAGAAAATAAGATACAGACAAACACCATGTCTAAGAAATATAATTGATTACTTTCAAGTTTCAAATATGAGGGGCAATATTTTTTTTTTCTAATTTGAAGTTTAAAGTTGTAGTTCATTTATGTCAATTTGTCTAGGATTTACGCATGAAGTTTATACATTTGTGTATTCTAATTATTTTACTTACCGATCTAATATGCTAGTTAAAGCTTTGCCCAATTGTTCATAATCGAGAGAACTGAACGTTTCAGTTCTTATATGATCACATGAGCCTAAATGGGTTCAGCAAGAACATATGGTAATGGCATTCCAATTTCTTTCAAAATATTCCAGATCGGTGTCACGTAAGTTATTCTTTCGATACGACCAGTAAGAATACCAAGAGCCATGAGGTCTTTGTTTTTATCTATTACAAACACCATAGCACCGGAATCACCGGGTTGACAGAACTTTCCAGTTTTATCTCTTATCTCTATCTGGTCGACAAGAACATACCGAAATATTCCTTGCCTTCTTCCAGAGACTTTTAGTCTGACTGATCCACCAGAACATTGATACGTTCCAGAAGTTAAGTTTGATTTCATTCCATATTTGACGAACTGAGTAGAAAGTGTCATTTCCATTGTTTTCGAGTTTTGCATAACAGATTTTGGATTATATCTCAATTCACTACCTAGAAATAAAGTAAATAAATGTAAAATTATATAAAATGCCGAAAGAATAAAATTATACTAAAAATATCTGACAAAACCTGACATTTCTCAATTTAACTGAATTCAACCGGTTTGTATATAATCAGGGTAAATGAACGAAGTAACATAATTTAAACGTCAATTGATGTTGTACTCAAAGAAAACGCAACGGCCTCTGTGGCGTACTGGTAAGCATACTGGACCGACAATCCGGATACCATTGGTTTAAGTCACAGTTGCAACCTGCCGGTTTTCTTGTGATATTTCTGTGTACAATTTACTGCTCTTGACTTTCTCCCGTTCATATATATTTTCCTGTAACGGACCGTAGTGGCCTTATATAATTATAAATTTATTTGCCATAAGAATATATTTATAATAAGAAAAACTGATCTAGCGGTAAATGATATCTACTGGACCGGCAATACCTGTGGTTCGAGTACTGGCTGCGACAGATTTTCGTGTAAATTTTCTGTATATGCATTATCACATTTGTTTAATTATTTCTGTTTAAAAAAATCTGTTTAACCTGATGTTGTTGTTTTTTTGTCAGAATATATTTTATAAAATCACAAATCTTACAAAAGTCGTAATTGACTTTTTTTAATATTATGAATCTATAGTACACAACAAAGGTATTAAAGGAGTTGTTTTACCATTACTCATCAAAGGAGAGATCCTTTCTGCGGGAACATCTGGAAAAGCAGTTGTTTTTGGTTTACGTTTCTCATCAACTTTGAAAAACGCAATGTCCATACCGCAGTTATTTATGTTGCCAAACAACCTGATATCACATACTTCTCCACATAGGTCGGGTTCTCCAGGCTGGAAACATTTGATTGTACCCAGAGACTCTACGTTCTGTTTTTCCTCGTACTTGTAAACCACTTTCATTGCTTCAACAGTTAAGAAAACATGTGCACAAGACATTGCACATAAGCCATCTTTTGGATGATTAACGAAACAACCAAGTGTGCCCGCATCATCCGTGTTTGATACTATTTTACAACCGATTTTTAAATCGTCATGCTTATCACAAGGTCCAGCAATGGCAGTTGCACATTGACCTTCTCTAACATCAGTTACAAATGCCTTATCATCATCGTATTTTATCTGTTCAGGTAAGACGTTTTCTCCAATGGGAATGTAACCCTTAGCTTCAACATAAAAAACTATACAAACTGCTTTTTCAGGAGTTTGCAGTTTACGCAACTTAACTGGCCTTACAGATGTTCTTGTGAGATTGCTATGAGCTTCCATGAAATGAGGGGACTTCATGCGCAAGCACTCGCAAGCTCTTTGAAACATTTCTTCGGATGGGTATCCTGTGCAATTTTCGCCTTCCATTTCTTTCGTTGTTTCGTTATTGTTTTGTTCTACTACATACAAGCGATAATGGCTCCTAATTGTTGTCGGTTTTGAAGTTTTGATAACAAAAACAACATTTTTGTAAGGGTCATCATGCTTGTAGCAGCCTTTTATATATTCAATTTCTTCATGTTCCTCCTGCAATTGTATTTCAATTCTCTGGCATATATCTTTGACTATTTCCCGAGTTTCATTGCTAGAAGTAAAATTGTTTACAGCAAATTGTAATACTTCTTGACTTGGTAAATTGCCGTCGTCTAGCATTTCCCTTGCTGCCTTGACATCTTTTTTCTTTATACAGTCTTTCCATTTACGTTCTTCATCTGAAATGTTAATTTTATTAGAGAAATTATCATGTTTCTGCTTAGTTTAAGTCGTAATCCATTAACTAACAAAGGCAAAAAAGATATCCATTTCATAATTATATGAGGTAATTTATTTATTAACAAGAGCGATCAGTAATCACATGTGTCGCCTCATGATGGCCAATTTCATGTTGGGACAAATTTTGTGACAGACGGACAGACAGACGGACAATGCACAACTATACTTGGTACTGATCATTCCTGTAAAGTTTGGATAAAATTGCACCAGTTGTTTATGAGGAGTAGTTCGGACAAGCTTTTGCGTATCTGGCAACACACAGAAAAAAAAAACCTTTTTATCAAAGAGCCATAACTCGGCCAAAAATCATTCAACCGGAAAACCCCTGCAAAATGCGCAAGGACTTGAGCTACAGATCAATCCTGTAAAGTTTCATTGAAATTGCATTAGTGGTATAAGAGAAGTAGTCCGGACAAACTTTACAAATAAAGATTATTAAAGGGCCATAACTCTGACAAAAATCATTAAACCGGAAAATGCTGACAATATGCACAACTAGACTTGGTACTGATCATTCCTGTAAAGTTTGGATGAAATTGCACCAGCAGTTTATGAGGAGTAGTCCGAACAAGCTTTTGTGTATCTGGCAACACACAGAAAAAAACACCTTTTTATCAAAGGGCCATAACTCAACCAAAAATCATTCAACCGGAATACCCCTGCAATATGCGCAAGGACTTGAGCTACAGATCAATCCTGTAAAGTTTCATTGAAATTGCATTATTGGTATAAGAGAAGTAGTCCGGACAAACTTTAAAATTAAAAATTATTAAAGGGCCATAACTCTGACAAAAATCATTGAACCGAAAAATGCTGACAATATGCACAACTAGACTTGGTATTGATCATTCCTGTAAAGTTTGGATGAAATAAACGGAATCATACAAATAAAGGCACGTTAACAAAACGTCGGTATTGCTTTTTACATCTGAAATAAAACCCATTTTTTATAGCTAGCATACAAAAATATCTGACAAGCATGGCAAAACACCTCTATGGTTTATGAATACTAAGGATCTAAATGCTGAACGAACTGTTTTATAGGTTTTCGTTTACAATTTTAAAAATAATTTAATTTAATTTGTATATTCATTGTAACAAATATTAAAATCTTCTATCAAGAAAGACACTAAGTTAATGTTATTCTGAAACACATATTTAGATTTAAATTAGTTAAAAAGAAATAAAACATTAACTTTTGTGATAAACGTATTTATCAATGCGTTGTTGTGACGAAAATTACCGAATGCATATGCCAGTTAACCGCTTTATCTCCATTTTTATAATCCTCCTTTGAAGTGTATCTTAGGGCCCGTCTTCACCTATCCAAGTCTTGAATGGAAGTATCATATTCTCTTGTATTGCAAAGTGTAAACACCCTACTTGAAGGAGTTTTAAAGAGAAATTATGTGACATCCAAGAAGATAATTCCTTGCAAGAAAGTTAGAACACGTTCTATTTTTCTACAAGTTTTTGGCTGTCAAGGCACTGATAACACCGGTTTGACACAAAATATTTTTAAAAAATTATTCAAGTAGGGTGTCTACACTATGCAATACAAGAGAATATAATACATGCATTCAAGACTTGGATAGGTATAGACGGGCCCTATCTAATACGTATTGAAAAAAACTTCGGACGAGGTTTTTCATATGTAATAATCAAAATAGCTGATGTACATTGTCAACAAATGTTAACATTGTTTATGAAATTGTTCCCAAAGGAAACCACAAACTAATTTAAAAATAAATCAAGTACCTCCAAGAGTGTGCATAGGCAAAGGAAAAGAAAATCGGTCCTTTCGGTATAAAATTTCTCAAACGATATTCAATTCCCAACATGTTTTCCGTTGGCAGTTGATCTTCGGGCTTCAAAAGTAATGCAGCCCTTTCTAGTTGAAAAAACTCTTAACAATGTAAAATTATATTCATCATTTCGCCGACTCAATTATCATGAAACAGATTAGTTTAACATAACCTATACAAAAAAGGCCGAAATGCCGACAATGACTTGCCAATGAAAACAGCTGACTAAATGTTCATTTTCTGTAGTTCTTTTAAATCAATATCTGTCTCCACCTCCCCGCCCCGCCCGACAAAAATCAAGAAAACCCGATGCATTATTTATTAAACAATTTTACTTATATTTTCAGCTTCAAGTTAGTTTTTTCTTCACAATTAACTATTTACAGACATGTTGCGAATATAGTTTTTTCTTTTTTAATTGATATTTTGTATAATTAGAATCAACATCATTCAAAATAAACGCCGTGACTTCACCTTTAAGTTTACTAATTTATAAAAGCCCCATCTTTAAAAAAAACTACAACTCATTTTACGTTAGAGTTTGAATATTGGTTTATCTAGCAAAGATGTTAACACTAGAAAATCTATGCAAGTGTAAATCTAATAAATTGATAAAAACATACATAAAACGATGCTTGAGAAAAAAATACTTTACTTCTACAGCTGTACTCCCTAATTGTAATTACGTGTTTCAACTTAGCTTTGAAGGATGGTACAAAATTAGAACAGCTTAACGTGAAAATCGGCAATCTCAAATTGAAAAGTTAGTGATCTCCCTTCGTTTTCATTTTGAATTGGAATAATATCATTCTGAGTGGTGTTTTTAAGCTATTTAGTAGTAAAAAATTCTGGAAACAAAGTGATCCCTCGGAAGCATTAATCACAACAAAATAATGTAAGAATTACAGACTCGGTTTGATTGAGTCTGCTCATGCACATGAGGGATAATGAATAAGTGCAACATCCCTCACGCCCCCTAACACATATTTGCCATTCTCTGTTAAATGTCTCCCAGCGATACTGTTCTTAACTTGCGTGTGTGTGTGCGCACGCGCGTGCGTGTGTCAATAATATAAGTTGAATGATGTCGGATTGCGGTTAGTCGAACATTGATAAACAGATAAAACTTTATTTCCAAGACATGTTTATATTGACTTTAATTGCAACAGAAACTGCAAATTCAAACAAACATCAGGTACTTCTCACAATTTATGGGTAAATATGCTCCTCCATCAAAAGGCTATAGGTCGGTTTAACCTTTTCTCAACGTGATCGCCAACCTACGTCAAATTTTCGGACACATGATCATTTGAAACCAATTACTGTCTGATGAAAATTTCAATGTTTAACTTAAAAAAATATTCAAACTGAATTTTGTGTGTATTTTAATCGCGCTGCACATGGACTGATATTAATCGCTTATAACCAATCTGTTGTAAAGGTCGGAAAAAACTAAATCTTTTATTCAAGTTGTTACTAGGTGTAAATCATGTCGAAATCGCATACTCCAGATTGTTGATCAGAAAACAAAATGAAAAATGCTCGTTTCATATTAGCAGGGCCTACATATTTGGTAAAGTATCTTTTTTGTATTAGATGTTTGCTTTAGCAACGATCATGGTATTGGGAATATTTTACATTCAGTCAGTCGTAATTTGTGTAATAGACGGGCCGGGTTTGATACCTATCAACAAAATGCTGAAAGAGTTCTAAAGTGATTTATTATGATCATTTATATAATGTATGATAAAAATTTGTTCTAGAACACTTTATTATCTGCTAAATATTTAAATGCATCTTACACCTACAAACCAAATCCACATGTAGTTTGTTAATTGGTTTTTTAACTTTGAATACGGATACAAATGTATATACATGTATATTTATCTCGCAAATTTCAACATTGGTGCAAGTGGTAATTTATTACATACAAAAACGGCTGATTTCAAGTGAGGCATTATGTAAATCTTAAAGAATTGAACATGGTGTCTGATTAGCGACTGTGACTGTAATTCACGATGAATATCCATATCAGTACCCTCTTTTCGAAATGGACTAAAACGGTACCCTTTTTTTACAAATACACAGATCTTTCTCCGTTGAAAACAATAAGGCGACATTCACAAATGTAGTAATTGTTCATGCTTCTGATAACATGTGATGTGTCGAGTGGCAAAGAAGTATAACACAGCACACTAGAATGTTTTACCTTTACCATTTTCTTTAAATATTTTGTCCATTTACCGATTACTGCAGTTTCACAATAAACTTACAAAATCGCAATGTTTGGCCGTACCCACCGCCTCGGAATGTTCTGTAGACTATAATCAACTAATGATTTGATAATGTACAAATCATATATTTTACATGTAATCATTGTTACATTATCTTCGGTAAATGTAAGTAAATAGTCAAAAATTCAGAAAAAAATCAGATAAAAAAAACAACAAGACTTTTCTTTTGGTTTCTCAGCGGCACGGGTTACCTCTTAGCTATTGATTTTCTCTCTGTAACAGAAATCCTCTCAACCATTTTGTTTAAAGCACTGGTACCCTCGTAAGCATTGTTTCAATTAATTATTATCATGTTTACTTTTTTTCATAGTTTGCGTTGTCGAAGAGACTGAAAGCATAGAGTATGCTTCTGAAAACACAATACGGTTCTTTAAGCGAAATGAAAGAGAGGGTACCACTAAGGGTACCAATGACAGGAAAAAAACAATAGCAAGTAGGTAACCCTTGGCGCTGAGATACCGAAACTAAAGTGTTTTTGTTTACTAATTTAATATTCAAAGAAATAATAAGATATATTTTATATGAAAATGATAACATGCGAAATGTATGATGTGTATATATTCAAATAATTGGTTTATATGGCCCACAGAACATTCGGAGGCGTTGGGTGTAGTGAAATATGGCGATTTAGTTTAGATATTATTGTGGAGTTGCAGTAATTGAGAAAAATGGACAACGCCCTAAGCAAGACATAGTTAAAACGTTCTACATGTGTTAAAGTGTTCTGTGGTATACTTCTTTTTCAGTCGACAGACATACAACCTTTTATGAGAAGAATGAACATGGACTAGATTTGTGTATGTCGTCTACTTGTTTTCAGAAGAGAAGGACCTGTGTATGTGTAAAGAGGGAACTGTTTAAGTTCATTTTGCAAAGAGGGTATTCATATTGGTATGCACCCTGTAATTGGTCTCATAAGACACATGTTGTTATTATTAATCAGTTAGTGTTCAGGATTAAAAAAAACAAGTAAGAAATGCGCTGCAATTTTGTTTTGATAATTAGAAATCTAGTTGATTCGTTACTTTTTTCATCTACGAATTTCATCTAAATGTAGATATACGTAGAGAAGCGATTCACAACAATGGTATTCTGTCAATTTATCAATTAATTTGTCAATATCTATTAGTATCAAAGGGGGATACTCCAGCGTTCGTCGTCCATCGTCATGCGTCAACAATCGTCTTCCTCTCTGAAACTGCTGGTCATATGTACTTCAAATTTGGTCTGTAGCATCCTTGTGACAGTCATACTTGAATTTGCTCATGTCATTTCAATTGGCCCCTTCTAGGATTTACAGAGCTAAATATAGAAAAACCTTCAAACATCTTCTTCTGCAGAACTAATTAATTGATGATCACCAAACTTTGTCTGTAGCATTCTTGGGTAGTCTTTCATCAATTTTGCTCATATTAATTTGTTTTGCCCCTTTAAGGGCCGCTAAAGCTAAAAATAGAATAGATCGGCCCCTTTTAGGGGTCTCTAGGGCTAACAATGGGAAAAAACATTTAAACATCTTCTTCTACAGAACTAATGGATGGAAAATCCGAAGCATTCTTGGGTACTCTTTTATCAAGTTTGCTCATATTAAAAAAAACATGTAAGAAATGCGCTGTAATTTTGTTTTGATAATAAGAAATCTAGTTAATTCGTTACTTTTTTCATTTACGAATTTCATCAAAATGTAGATATACGTAGAGAAGCGATTCACAACAATAGTATTCTGTCAATTTAATCAATTTATTTAATCCTGTATATTAACAGTTATCAATATATTCACTTCAAATACCGCTACCGTTTAAGTATTCGAAGATAACATGTTTTGTTCTTTAGCTCACCAGAGCCGAAGAAGCTCAGCATTAGCTATTAGTCTCACAGGGGGATACTCCGGCGTCCGTCGTCCATCGTCATGCGTCAACAATCGTCTTCCTCTCTGAAACTGCTGGTCATATTTACTTCAAATTTGGTCTGTAGCATCCTTGTGACAGTCATACTTAAATTTGCTCATGTCATTTCAATTGGCCCCTTCTAGGATTTACAGAGCTAAAATAGAAAAACCTTCAAACATCTTCTTCTGCAGAACTAATTAATGGATGATCACCAAATTTTGTCTGTAGAATTCTTGGGTAGTCTTTCATCAATTTTGCTCATATTAATTTGTTTTGCCCCTTTAAGGGCCGCTAAAACTAAAAATAGAATAGATTGGCCCCTTTTAGGGGTCTCTTCGGCTAAAAATTGGAAAAACACATAAACATCTTCTTCTACAGAACTAATGGATGGAAGATCACCAAACTTTGTCTGAAGCATTTTTGGGTACTCTTTTATCAAGTTTGCTCATATTAATTTGATTTGCTCCTTTAAGGACCGCTAAAGCTAATAATAGAAATACCTTAAAAGTCACTTTCTACAGAACTAATGGATGGATGATCACCAAACATTGTCTGTAGCATTTTTAGGTAGTAGTTTATCAAGTTTGCTCATATTAATTTGTTCGGCCCCTTAAAGGGGCCGCTATAGCTAAAGTTAGAAAACCGTTTAACGTCTCTTTCTACAAAACTAATGGATGGATGACCACCAAGTTTTGTCTTTAGCATTCTAAGGTAGACTTTCATCAAATTTGCTCATATTACCAGTAATTTGATTGGACCATAATAGGGGCCGCTAAAGCTAAAAATAGAAAAAACTTAAATGGTCATTTTCTACTGAGCCAATAAATGGATGATCACCAAACTATGTAGCATACATAGGTAGCCTTTTATCAAGTTAACTAATATTAATTTGATTTGCCCCCTTTAGGGGGCTGCTTTAGCTAAAAATAGAAAATCTTTAAACATCTCCTTCTACATACCTGATAGATGGATGATCACCAAACTTTGTTTGTAGCATTCTTATATAGTCTTTAATCAAATTTGCTCATATTGATTTGATTGCCCCTTTTAAGGGCTTCTAGAGCTAAAATTAGAAAACTCTTTAAACATTATCTTGTGCGGAAGTTAAAGATTGATGATCGGCAAACTTTGCCTGTAGCGAGTTTATGTAGTCTTCTATCAAATTTGCTCATATTAATTAGATGAGCTAAAGTGCCCCAGGCCATGGCATTTCTTCAAATTATAGCTTAAAGATATACTATGCTCATCCTTGGGTTAAATATTTCTATCACATAAATTTATTGAATGTATGTAATTTTTACCAAGTATTTCCAATTTGAACAAAAGAATGAATAATTATCTATTGGAAGCTGTGTGCCCTTTTACAGGTCTAGTAAAATTGGTCTTTTCTTAAAAAATAAGTGCCAGTTTTTTAATGACACTATATATTCATATTGTAACCTCCTACAGTTTGTAGAATTTAAAACACAGCTTTGTGTGAAGTTGAAACATGTTTATTTTATATTTACAAAGAGACTGTGTAGCAATTATAAATATGATCAAATATGAAAATTGAGCATAGAATATCTTGAATGAAAGGGAAACAGTTTATGTTGGAATGTCTTTCCTCACTTGAGCACATTATAAGGACATAATGATTAACAACACCCTATAATTATAAAAAAACTTTATAATGATGATTTATCATAAATGTTTTCAGAAATAGGTAATACTTAATTGAAAAGATAGTATACAGCTATGTAATACAGTAAATGCTTATTTTTTTCAAGTAAGAATACTTTTACATTGAACCAATTACATGTATTATGCTTTGTATCATTTGTATGCTCATTTTGTGTTTAATATTAAATTCTGTTAAAAATTATTGTAACTTTTTCAATCTTTATTAAATTGGATTTAAACTTGGAAAAAGCACATTTCATTGAATTGTTGGACACATTGTTGAACCTGATGTTTCATTGCATAGTTGAAAGTTGAAATAATTTGAGCTGTTATTGAATTTTGATATCAACTGGCCTACTTTTGATATTTTTATATGTATAGACTTGATATTTGGACCAGGGGTGTAATTTCTGATGCTGAATTGAATTTTGATATCAGCTGACCTGTTTTGATTTCTTTGATATCATTTGACTTTCTTTCTTGTTTATTGACATACAGACTTGTAATTGGGACAAGGGGTGTAATTTGTTATGCTGAATTGAATTTTGATATCAGCTGACCTTCTTTTGATATTTTGTACAATGTTTTACCTATTGTCATTTTAGGTACAGTTATAATAACATATAGAATTTATAAAACCATTGTTATTTCAAACATCTACAGCTTACATATTTTGCATGTGACATTTTGTGTATTCTTTCACAAAAGTTATGAAAAAATGTCCTATCAAAATTTTTTGGTCATTTATTCTACATACTCTCATAGGTATACACTTAGCGGCTTTGAATGCTGCTTTAGGTCGCGTTAGTCTATACACTCTCATTTTTTTATATGTCAGCCTCCAGTTTAATGAAACTAAGTCTTGATAGTTTTCTCTACAATCTTAACATCAATGACAGTAAGTGCAAACTGCAATTGAGCAATATCGATAAATAAATCATGCTGAAATAGTATATGTGCTCAGAACTTTAAAAGCCATCCATAGTTCTTCAATTATCATAAAGAAAGAAAGGATTGAGTTGCACGCTAGCTTAACCGGAAACTTTGAGTCATAACTTTTTTCAAGCTAAACACAAGTGACGAATAGCTTTCGTCCTAATAAATGAACCATTCATTAGTATATCTTGTCTTTCTGTTGGATGAGCGCTAAAATATATGATTTCAAATTGAACATTCTTAACCGGTATAGTTTTTCTTTGTACAGTATTTAATAGGTTCATTACAAAACATGACCTACCCCCTTTTGCAATTTCTGTCTGTTTTCGTGTAATGACGTTACTGTTATTACTATACACAATTTGGCTAAACCAACTTATTGATATTGTTTTTTTTTTTAAGATATCTTAAATGAACCAATCCCCTATCATAACTTTGACACTAAGAATTGGTTCTTTTCTTACCTTGTTCCATTGTTAGTTGCTGCGCCATGTCCAGCTGTTGTTGTTGTAGATGTATAACACGCGGTGGTGTAGGTGCCCTTGCCGGAAGTGATGCCGTTTGTATAGTTGTCTTATCCGGTGGCTGTGGCTGTGTTCCAGCTGTTGACCGCCTTTTACGAAGCGACGTTTGGTCATGTTCCTCATGACTGACAGGCACTGTCATCGTTTTAGTCGAGCGTCCTATAATCTTTTTCTCCCTTTTAGTCAAGCGTCTTATAATCACTTCAATACAAATGAAGAAATATACAGCTTTGAAATCATTCATTTCTACTTTTCAGTACATATTTAAAGGGAAATCACTGAAAACCGGACCCTCTGAAAACCGGAATCCTTTGACGATTTGAAAAGTCCCATATTTTATTCTAATAAGTTTATTAAATGTATTCTCTAAATACCAGAACCTCTGAAATTCAAACCAGATGGTTTCTATGGTAACTTATCATAAACAGTCATAAAACGGTCACCAATTAAAGTGTCAACTTAGTGTGTGATTTTAAGTGTATTAAAACATTACCCCCAACAGGTGAAATCTTCATGTACATGTTCATGGTTACCTACGTCATCTATTCAAGTGTAATACACACTTGTAGGTGTATATTATTTCTTATTGATAATGAGTTTCATAAATCGTAAATTTAGATAGCCAATAGAAAGGTCTATTTAAGATAATGTGTTGTTTTTATTTCTAATTTTCTTTATTATATTTATGAATTTGAAAAAGAAAATTATTCACGACATTTATAAAACAAAAAAGAGAGATAAACAATGACTTGTTTAAAAAACAAAAGAGTTGAAAATGAATACAAAATGATTTAAACAAAGTCAATGTTCAAACACATCATAGGTTCAGGTCTGCTTCCAGCAGTAAATTATGTGCATTCCACAGCAAATAATGTATAACTGAATGTTCTAATAATACAGTTCTTCTGCTGTTCTGACAGATTTCACGGATGATCATCTTCGTTTGATTCACCGAAATATACATTGTTAAATGATATGTCGGTTTCGGTCGGAACTCCCGTACTAGCACAATATTAAACAAGAAGTTTTATAGGCAAATCATGTCTCAGAAACAATTAGAGTGTTACTTCTTAAGACAGAGCAAACATGTATTTTATACTGTTTTAATAATGATTTTAGAAAATGTTAGATGCTTGTAAATTATTAAATAAAAATATCATGATGTATGATAATGAAAAAATTCACAAAACCGCTTTTTGATCAATTCCTTTGATATCAGCAACGGTTAAAATGGAGTAATTGTCAAAGCGTGTGTAGATATTTCAGACATTTCAGTGGGTATGAAAAATGTGCAAACTGGCCAGGACACGAAACCGGGACCCACGAGTAACTTTTCTGCAGCTCTACCGACTGAGTTATCTGGTTGCTAATATATTATCGCCCATAAATAGTTGTCACAAGGTGAGAAAATGTGCAGGCTGACCGGGACCCAAACCCGGGACAGTCAGTTTACCGTACCGCGGCTCTACTGACATATCTAGCCAGCCGACATCTTCTCCCCTAAATAGTAAACATTTAGTTTTAAACCGTGACAGTGTAAACATAACTGAACCGTGACAAACGTCCCCCGCCTATTGAAAATCTTCCTTAAAATTTCTTTTGGTTACATAGCAATATGATTGGTAGTTTGAACTGTATTCATTCACGGCCCGCGTTTGTGGCCAAATATGACATGTTAAGACAAAAATGTGCAGTCTGCCCGAGACTTTTGGAATACCGTTATGTATACCGTTAAAGGGCAATCTTCTAGTGTATCACCACACCTTACTAAGGTTACTTATGTGTTTGAGTTCAATTTATTTGCATATGAATTGCATCCTTGTTATTAAAGTGTATATAATTCATTGCTTTGTCAATTTTGCAGAAAACAATCCATCATTTAACCATCACCATCCATGAAAGTCACCATCATATCATGTCTGGATGACAGAACCAAGATGCTTCTTTTGTTTAAATCACTTGTAAATTAATTTAGTGAGATAATGTCCCGACGTTTCATCCATGGTTAAAACTTACCAGAAACAAGTACGATTATCAGTAAAAACGTCAGACAATCTAGCGATAAAATGTTTTGTACCTTTTTCTATATGTAACCTTCGGAAACTCTGCCTTCCGTGACGTCGCAAATAATTGAAGCGAATTTAGCGTGACGTGAGAGCTTTTAGTGCCAAAAGGTTCTTAACTACTAAAATGTAAATAATGTTAATAATTCTTACAAAACAATTATGGGTATTTTTCGGATAGTTGAAATATTTTTTTTGCGTGCATACACGAAAGGAAATAGCCAACCGGTGTACAGTGTATAATTGCCTAGTCAGTTATGTATGTTTGGTCTATATTGTATTCTATTAAATTGAACGTTTACTTAATACTAAAATATGTTTATTTTGTGACTTATACATTTGTTGCTTTTTTGTAATTTTACATTTCATAAGTCATCGAACAATATTAGCACAGGACAACTTTACAGACGATGTTCAATAAATTTGTAGCAGAAGAAATGTGTTATTGGCCAGTTGATTTTGATTCCTTAAATCACTTAAATCACTACGCAATAATGTGTGGCCCTGTTAACAGTTAGGGTAAATAGCGGCAAAATCACACCAGAAAATTTGTCGATTATCTATATTAAATAGTTATAAAAATTTAATGGACGACGAGCATTCATTGACATTGTCAATTAAGTGATGGTCCGCTGAAGATAAAGAGGATGTGTATAAAGAAGCCAGTTAAGGGCTTTCTTAAAGAAAAAATGTTGATATGGCTTCTTGACTTATGACACAAATCCATATATGGATAGCAAAGATTTGGCACCTTCATCAAGTAAGTTTGCGTCTTATGGAAAACCTTATCTGAATAGAAGGTCTACCCTTAAGGACATTGATTTCATTTCCAGGACATAACCCTTGTATTTGAGGAACATTATACCATTTTTGGCCGCAGCGAAATGGGAGCGATATCCACTTGACCATGGGTGCCAAGATGATTGCGCTCCTATAAACCAAAAGCGGCAACAATGCCTCCAGCAATTATAGAAATAAATGGTATATATCACATGAGATATCTTAAGAAAATCTAAAATTAAAAATAATATTGTTTTAACTTTTAGTCTATTCTTGAAAGAGTTGTTATGTTTGAAAGAATGGTAGCATAGAATGCTTCTGATATTAAATAAAAAATAAAATGTTCTGAAACAATCACGCTTTTATTTCAAGTGGATTTTTAACCGTGTGGCAATGATTTTGTTCATACACAACCTGCTTAAAAGTTATCTAGAAACAAATTTGTTTCAAAAAAGCCTTTGGAATGTTTTTTTTTTCAAAATTCAAACAAAAGATTGTAAAATGCATACACGAGAGCTATAGTTTTGTAAACTTTTAAACAGTTCTTATATCTGATACAGCAAAACTTTATAAAGTAACTGTGCATTCATATCAAGATATGAAATTTTTATAGTTAGTAATATTGTTAGTACGTTTAAGTCTATTATTTGATGCAAATATATAACTAGCATAAGTACGAAATTGTTCTATAAATCATGGAATCAAGCAGATAAATCATGGCTGACGCAAAACTTGGGTCTCAGAAGGTACATGCCATAAAAGTTATAATTCCTACAAGAAACTATGACCTGAACTTGGTGAAATATGGAGGAATATGAAATACGGGTGTTTGTGGTACGCCCGAAATATATTCAAGTTATAATTGGATTTTTTGGACAGTTATTTGCATTTCAACATCAAAATTCGAAAACAGTAAATGCAGTGATGTAAATTAGAAAAATATCAACATTTAACAAACTTTTTAAAGATATCGGATTACTTATATATTAATTAGTTCAAGGTTTGGGTTTGATTTTGGAATGTGTTTATTTTTATTTGATAGGAAAACAATAATTTTAATAAAATTTAGGTAATGTAGAAACCTATCTGTTTGTTAAATTTAAAAACGCAAAGGCCAACAAATTGTCACGTTACGCATGACTAGGCGGCTTTGAATGTTGCTTTACGTCGCGTTGGTCTATGTATTATCAAACTTGGATATGTCACACAGCCTCCAGTTTAATCGAACTTGGTTGTTTTCGCTACAATCCGAACATCAGTAATGATAAGTGCAAACTGCTATTGAGCAGTATCGATAAAATAAATCATAGCTTTTCGCATTCTGAAATAATAAATGTGCTCAAACCTATACGAAACAGCCATAGTGCTTTAACTATAACTAAGAAAGAAAGGATTGAGGTCGACGCTAACCTAACCGGAAACTTTGATTCATAACATTTTACGCTACAAACATGTCATGTTTAGCTTTAGTTCTAGTAAATGGACCATACTTTAGTATTTCTTGTTTTTTGTTAAGTGAGCTCTAAAATATATTATTGTAATTTCTTAAACCGTATAGATTTTCTTTGTATTTAAGCAGCACGCCTCCAGATTCATCCTAATTTTCATGAAAAGTTAAAGATTGTGAAATTAACAAAGAAAATATTTGACACATTACAATCGGCACTTAAAATCAACTTAAATTACCAAAATGAGGTCAAAATATGCATAAATAGCCCATACTGCGTTAGTAACGCAGTAGAACATACTGCGTTAGTAACGCAGTAGAAATACCACAAAATGCAGTCATTAATTGCACATAAGATATTAATTATCACTTGAATCTTTAATTTGCTTACTTTTCTTAAAATTTTAGTATGGTTTTTCCAAGTTTAATTGTCTTGAACTATTTTTGGTCATGTGGAGGCATGCAGCTTTAATAGGCTCATTACAAAAATTGACCTGCCCCTTAATTTCATTATTTACGTGTTATGACGTTATTGTTATTACTCTACAAAATTTACTACACCAATTATTGACTTGTATAATTAAATATAACACACTCCCCTAACATACAACCCGCCCGACGACATGTTAAGGTCTGCTTCAAGTACTAAATAATGCGCAATCCAAAGCAAATAATGTATATCTGAATGTCCTAATAATACAATAATCCTACTGTCCGGGTAGATTTCACGGAGGACTTACTTCATATGATTAACCAAAATATGCATTAATTTAAACGATATGTCAGTATCCGTCAGAACTCCCGTTGTAGCAGAATATTAAACAGTAACTTTTAAGTTTGAATTATTATTAAACAAAATCGAAATTTCTTTCCTTTCCTTTTAATTTATGCATTGTCATTTGATGCAGTTA